CCTATGCACAGTCTGCTGGCACACATGGTGATTATTCCTATGTACAATCTGCTAGCACACACAGTGATTATTCCTATGCACAGTCTGCTGGCACAGGCAGTGATTATTCCTATGCACAGTTTGCTTGCACACATGGTGATTATTCCTATGTACAATCTGCTAGCACACACAGTGATTATTCCTATGCACAGTCTGTTGGCACAGGCGGCGATTATTATTCCTATGCATAGTCTGCTTGCGCACACAGTGACAATTCCTATGCAGTCTGCTAGCACACACAGTGATTATTCCTATGCACATTCTGCTAGCACACACAGTGATTATTCCTATACCTTCTTCCTCCTTTGGGGAACATAACAGGTTTCCATGGGCAATCGGGTAACTACCAGTACTCCTACCTTGCTGTTATCTTCTGCCTGCCTCTGGTGCATGTGCACCCCCTGGCCTCAGAGGGAACAGCCATTTGGAGCTATCTGAACTACATTCCCTTTTCAGGCTTCCAAGTAAGTTCCAGAAACCTAGGGAGAAAACTCTTCCAGGAGGGGAACCACTTGGGTGCAGACAGGAAGCAATTCAGACAAAAGGCCCTAGAGGTCCCCAGAGATAGTTCTTTACCTATCAATTCCTGAGCACGTGATAAATTATTTCAGTTAAAAATGAGGGCATGTCATTGGCCAAACTGCAGTATGTCTTGCTGTGGTCCTTTACCACATCCTACAGTGTAACTCAACACAAGGCTGGTGCTTGCAGGAACTTCCTAGCTACCAGCTGGACCACTGCACCTCCCGAGTGCCTGTGCTCGGGGGCCCTGCACCCTGCCACACTTGCATACCCTGGACACCCTGCTACTCTGGGGAGAGGCACCATGATGCTGATGTGGGGTCCTATCCTCTGCAGGAGGCTCACAGGTCTAAGAACCAAACAAAAGCTGTGAGGGAGAGGCTGTCAGGTGCACCAGCACAGCCCATTCCCAAGGCTCACACAACAAGACTACAAAAGGCACAAGGGCAGAAGGAGGGGCCCAATGGAGACAGGAGTGCCCAGTGGGAGGGGCCCAATGGAAAGAGCCACGCCCCATGGGCCCTGGATCTCACCATCACCTTTTTCCTGCAAGCATAAGAGCTCAGTGGAGAGAAGCACCAGAACTGTCTGTAGCTAAGGAAGAGAGGCTGGGCTGGGCCAAAGGGTGGGCACAGGAGCAGGCAGGGCGGGAGGGGAGAGAGCAGGGCCAGAAGGGAAGAGGCAGGGGGGTAGAAGCCTATCCTGGAAGGTTCTAGCTCCCCCCAAGTAAGGGTGCTCAGGAGACTGGACACCCACCCAGGACCAAGGGCTGGAGACAGCATCACTGTGGCCACACAGCTCCTGAGGTGACATTCCGGGCAAGGCAACTCTGGCAATACTGAGCAACAGAAGCATCAAGGTGAAGATTAATTCCTGCTCTCCTAACCTCTGGAAAAGGGGATGCAACTACTCCTATAATCATGTGAACAACTTTCTCTCTTTAAATAGAACTTGGGGTCATTTCCATCCCACAGAGAAATACCAGAACTGCAGATCACCACAAAGCACAGGCTTCTGCACAAAACACTGAACAAGACAGGTGAGCGGCAGGCTCCTGTGGCTGGGCTCGGGCAGCATGCACGCACACACATACACAATACACATTTTTCTCTCAGTAATAGTGCCAGTCTGGGCCAGCCATGTGACTTTGCCCACAATGACTGATTCTTCAAGTACTAAGAGGAGTAGAGCAGTTCTTCTGGCAGACAGTACAAAGGAGAGCGCCTGGTGGACAAGGAGAAGACCCATGAGCTTCACAACAGCACAAAGGAGCCAGACTCCACCCTGTACTCTCACTTCCTGTTCAGCATCTGAGCCAGGCTCTGCCCTTTACCTTCACTTCTTGTATGGCATCTGAGCAGATTTGGGGTGATGGACAGTGGAGGGACATGCTTTGATGCTGTGGCATAAAGGAGGCAGACACGGAAAGCAGCAGCAGCAGGCTGCAGTCCGGGCCATGGGGTGGGCAGCCTAAGTGCAGGAAGGCCCCCAGTGGGCCTGATCTGTCCTTGCTGGACCTGACTGGCAATCGGGACCCAAAACATCCGTGACTATCTTCTGCCTAGTGCTGATGATGTGGATGGGACTTTGTCATAGCTTGAGGTCTGGATTCGGTCCCTGACCACTAAGGATGGGACACACTTTTAAGTTCCTCCACTCAGATCAGAGGAGGGCATTTTGAAATAACT